GTCATCAAGTTCTTAATGGCAATATTTTACATAAAGTGTAAGAAATAGGAGACCGTTTTTTGAAACTATCAAAAGTTCTTTGACAACCCATAGAAACATGTTGCGGAATTCATTAACTAACATTTGGGATGGCCATAAACTTTAATAGACTGAGGTTGTTTTTGATAAATTGGCCCTGTTTTTTTTACTACTACCCCTACTACTCCTTCTACCACCGGCGCCGTCACCACCGTCGCCGCCTAAGCCTCTTCTGCTGCTGCTGCTACTACTGGTACTACTACTACCACTACTCCTACCACTCCTGTTACTTTTACTAATACAGGTACTACTACTTCTTCTACTTCTTTGTTCCTTATTCTAACACTGGCCACAATACTAGACTTATCCCTCATATCCTAACCTTAAAAACACCCTTAAAGACCAACATAAAACCCATGCCCTAACCTTATATCCCAGACAAAATATAACCTAGAGCAAAATGTCACTGTAACAAAGTAGATCCCAAACTTCTCATCTAATTTTGCACCCTTCTCAAACGTAATGACTCCCAATTATGTATGTATTACCTATCAATAGAAAATCACATCCATTCTGTTCATTTTTTGAGAACAAGATAAACGTTAAATATCACCAAAAACACTCTCAGGGATATTTTTATTGTCAAAACAAATCATATCAGGGATTAAACCAATGCATTCCTTTACAGACCAACAAAAAACAGTTCGAGATGCTCTACATGGCGGAGAAAATTGCCCCAATTTCTTGCACAATACCATAATTACCCCCAATAACACTTCTTTCAGCCAATCCGATGATTACCATTGAAAACCAATCTAAGAGGTTTTTGTAAGTGGATCTCTGTGAACAATGGGAGAAAGCCAAGTCATACATTACGATGGTCGAGAGAGGAAACTTGTTTGTGTCACTGTATACAATAGAAACATACCCCTTCGTTCAGACAGGCAAAAACTGTACAACTCTACCAGTGTAATAAGCCAGTTCATAGTTGCAGTCTGAGCATGAGCAGATAAAGGTCATAGCAGACCAAATTGTGAAATACACGGAGACAAAATACTGGATACGTGCTCATGAAAGTTATGTAATCATTATTCATTTATGCACAAGCAGTGCACTCCATGATACACAGGTGGAAGTATTCTTTGAAAAGGGGAAACAAAGGCTATTTATGTAGCACCTTCATCGCTGTAGGAGTGATTATTTCAAAATGTACAAAGTGGGATCTATGTATGCCACTTTCACTATACATAACTTTGTATAAGATTTATAATAATAGCCCTCATTTTGGTATAATTCCATCTCAAGTGAATGAACTAATAGAGTGAGAGAGAGAGAGAGAGAGAGAGAGAGGGAAGGGGCTTTTAGGTTGCACACAAAAATTGTCATTTTTTTCACATTCCGAACTTTTAATGGAAGTTGCTTGGCAACTACTAATAAACACCACAAAACAAAACAAAAACAACAAAAACCCCACCTATTTGAAATGCTGGCCGAAAACTCCCCTCACTTCAGTGCTACCACATGCGTACAACTCAACAACATTTTTTTTTTTAACTGATGGTTTTTATGGGTGTTTCCAGTACTCTAAATGGTAGTTTGTTTTTTTAAGTGGTTTTTCAAACAGATTTTCCTGTAATGTGAATGAGCCTAGAAAGGGAAGACATTCAGTCTGTAAGTGTCTCTATCTGCTGATGATAAGAAAAGAATCAAGCAAAGCTCAAATGTCTAAATGGGATTACAGAGTGGTGATGAAAGGATGAGGAAATTAGGGCTAAGTGAAGTTAAAGCTTTGATGAAAAGGTCAAAAATCTTGATGGTGAGAACAACCCTTGGATTTCCTCATCCCCCTTTTCTGGACCTCACTCTCGGAATCTTCTTTTCTTGTGTTTTGTGCCGCAATCGCTCCATCTGGTGGAGATGGTGTGGCTAAAAACAAACAACACCACAATACTCAGTGTCAATGCATTCTTCAAGAAAAGCAGAAGAAAAGCAGGAAGATGGCAGGAAATTTGAGTATAATTATGAGACATGTTCAAATGTCATGACAAAAGATCCAATGTCATTATACCAAGTAATTCCTATCTTCAGCCTGGCCCCAGGAGATACCTAGCCCTAAACCTAAGCTAAAACTCAATTTCTACCAAAGCCCTTACCCCATATATTTGGCAAATAAACCCATTGCAGTGAGAGAGTGAGCTCAACAAGCGTTCTCAAACCCATCTGCTCATATACAATACAAGTGGTGATAAAATAAAAGAAATGGCAGCCTACATAATACGTAGGGTAAAATTGATTTATAGTTTTTGTACAATACCCAAAATAGTTTGGGTATTATCGAAAGCAATCAAAGCATATTATTATAGGTCCTCTAAAGATAAAAAGCACCCCCCCCCCCCCCCCCCCCCCCCCCCGGTCATACATTTAGAAACTTGACATTACTGATTCAGCCAACTTGCAGATACTGTACAAATAATGATTACAACTTTCAAGAAATCTTTTTTTTTTTTTTTTTTTGGGGGGGGGGGGGGGGGGGGACGTTACATTCAAACTCTCACCAGTATGCTCCTCAGATTTTCTGCTTTCTTTGAGAGTAGTTTGCTGTTAAGGTTAGATTTGCTTATAATTCTCATACCCTTTCTCTACCAGAACTCATGAATATCTTCAACAGGTTAAAACCTATCAAATTGACAGTGGTTTTATCAGAGGAATAACACAGAGCAACAAGTAACCCTATCAGACACATAACTAAACTCATGTTGGGCTGGGTTTTGCAATTTTTTCTCTTCTTTGTTTTTCAGTGTACATAGCTATAGTACAGTCAAAATAGGAAAAAACCAAGAACTAATTGCAACAGAAATGATTCCACTTGCATATAATCTGGAATAGCCATAAAAACAACATACTCAAAGTTGACAAAAATTGAAGTGGTGGATCAGTGCCTAATTTGCATAAATTCAAAATGGCCGCCATGTCAGACCCTGGTAGACACACAAAACCTATTTTAGCCTATATCTCTAGATCTAAGACACATAGAACGCTAAACGAAGTGTCTTTACCAATGTTTGGGGGGTCAAGAAACATGATAATAGCATTATAAGCAGCTTACAACTACTCCTTCACTCTTAATTTGCATAAATTTGCATATAATTAACCCTTTTAAAAGTCAAAATGGCTGCCATGTTGCATGCTTATAACTATTTCTCATCTAATATTAATAGAAAGTTGATTATAGTGCCCTTCTCCATGTTTAGGGGGTCAAGGAACATGATAATAGCATTATTAGCAGCTTACAACTACTCCTTGACTCTTAGTTTGCATAAATTTGCATATAATTAACCCTTTTAAAAGTCAAAATGGCTGCCAAGTTGCATGTTTATAACTATTTCTCATCTAATAGTTATAGAAAGTTGATTTTAGTGCCATTATCCAAGTTTAGGGGGTCAAGGAACTTGATTATAGCATTACCAGCAGCTTAGAACTACTCCTTGACTCTTCATTTGCATAAATTTGCATATAATTGACCCTTTTAAAAGTCAAAATGGCTGCCACGTTGCATGTTTAAAACTATTTCTCATCTGATACTTATAGAAAGTTGATTTTAGTGCCCTTATCCATGTTTAAGGGGTCAAGGAACATGATTATAGCATTACCAGCAGCTTAGAACTACTCCTTGACTCCTAATTTGCATAAATTTGCATATAATTAACCCCTTTTAAATTCTAAATGGCTACCATTTTTTCATGTTTAAAACTATATCTCTAGATCTGATACACATAGAAAGCTAAACGAAGTGTCTTTACCAATGTTAAGGGAGTCAGAAAAAATGAGTATAGCATTATCAGCAGCTTAGAACTACTCCTTGACTCTTAATTTGCATAAATTTGCATATAATTAACTCTTTTTTTTTAAAAGTCAAATTGGCTGCCATATGTTGCATGTTTAAAACTATTTCTCATCTGATACTTATAGAACGTTAATTTTAGTGCCCTTATTCATGTTTAGGGGTCAAAGAAAATAGCTCGGTAGAACTTAGGAATGTTTTTGTCTAACATTTTATAACCATAGTTATCCGGTATGCGGCTCTTTATATAGGTAACCCCTTTTTAATTAGCTCAGGGAAAATCCACCTCCCCTGCCTTGCATAGATGGCATTGGAAGGTGTTGCGAGCCTCCATTGTAGCTATACTTTGAATTTATTCATATTAGCAAGCTAAGAAACACTGACATGATGAGACAAACCAACAAAAACGGATACCGGCCCGGTTGTCGCTAGGGTGAACAAGAACCGCATCCCCCAGTGACAAACCAGGCTGAGGTCGGAAAATTGAATACTGGTTTCAAATCCAAATCTAGAATTAAAATCATAGATTGCAAAGCAGCAACTCTAATATCGAGTTTTAATGTCCGGTCCCTCAAGTCAAAGGAGAATTAAGATGGGAGAACTAACAGCACTAGCTGAAGAAAAGAGAGTAGACATTCTGTGTATACAGATACATCATATCTACCATGAAAATGTGCATATTGAGATGAAGGACATGGGCAAAGGTTGGGTACTAGCTATGTCTTAAGGCACCAAGAATACAGTGAATAGCACAGTTGGAGGGGTTGGTATATTGATGAGTCCTTTTGCTTATAAGTCACTGGAATACCTTAAAAAGGCGAGTCCTCGTATACTTCTAGTCAAGTTCAGTGGAAATCCACCTCCCACTGTTATCACCTGCTACAGTCCAACCAACTGCTCCCCAGACAATGAAGCTGTAAATTTCTATAGCTTACTGTCTGATGTCATTAAAAAGATCCCTCAGCACAACATTAAGATTATCTGTGGGGACATGAATGCCCAGGTTAGCTCTATAGACAGCAAGGGTTTTACTTTTGGCAATAGGACTAACAGAAATGGGCAGTACTTGCTGAACATGACATGACATGACATCTTAAGAGCCTATGGAATACCACACACAATAGTTACAGCAGTAGGAGTGATGTACAAAGATACCACAGCTCAAGTACGTTCACCAGATGGAGAGACCGACTCATTTACCATCTTAGCAGGAGTGCTTGAAGGAGATACCTTAGCACCATACCTATTCATCATAGCATTGGATTATGCTCTAAGAATGGCTACTGAAGGGTTCGAGGATCTAGGCTTCACCCTACAGGAAAGGAAAAGTAGCAGATATCCTGCTGAAATGATCACTGATACCGACTTTGCTGATGATATTGCACTAATCTCAGACAATCTGGAAAAGGCACAGAAGCTCCTAGAACAAGTGGAGTCTGCAGCAAGCCAAGTCGGTCTACAAATAAACAGTACTAAGACAGAATTCATGATGTACAACCTTCGTGAAGGCGATATCTGTACTGCTGACAGGACAAAGCTGAAGCAGGTCCAAGACTTTCAGTACCTTGGCTCGTGGGTTGATCAGTCAAAACAAGACCTGATTATCCGAAAAGCAAAAGCCAGACTGAGAGACCGTCGCCTTCGTTTCAGTGGGCACTGCTGGAGGAGCAAGAGTGAAATCATTTCACAAATGCTCTTCTGGGAGCCCTCAAGGGGCAAACGCACCAGAGGGCGCCCAGCAATGACTTACATTGACCAGTTAGCAAAAGACACCTGTCTACCAAGACAGGAGCTCCAAATATCATGGAGAATAGAACTGAATGGAAAAAGCTTGTCAAATCAGTGCGAGTACGCTCGACCTAGTAGTAGTTACAGTTAAACAGGAACAATCACTGTTCTTTTAAAGATAAAATTGAAGAATTTGAAACCATCCTTGTTTATCGGCTTCTTTTATTCTTTGAATCCAACACAATTGTTGTGCTCTGGCAGATGACTGGTCCATTCCAAATAAATAATCCAGTGGTTGCAAAAACAATTTTGATTTTGTCGAGTAACAGCAACAGGGCCAGACGGAATCTCTGCCAGAATGTTGAAGGAAACCGCCGATCGGATTTCCCCTGCGATCACCCTGCTTTTCCAAGCCTCCCTTCATCAAGGATGCGTTCCATCGATGTGGAAGAAGGCACTTGTAGTTCCCATCTACAAGAAGGGCTGCAAGTCATCCCCGGTTAACTACAGGCCGATTTCACTGACTGCGATCATATGCAAGCTGTGTGAGCATGTTGTTCACTGTGCAGTTATCCACCACCTCATCCATCATGACATTCTATCTGAAAATCAGCATGGCTTTCGGAAGCGCCGTTCTTGTGAGACACAACTGATCCTCACCATCCAAGACCTTGCTAGAGGACTGGAAGACAAGGGTCAGTATGATGTAATCCTACTAGACTTTGCTAAGGCCTTTGACAAGGTCTCTCACAAACGACTCCTTCTCAAAGCCAAACATTGTGGTATACACGGCCTTACTCTTCAGTGGATCGAGAACTTCCTGACTGGCCGTACCCAACAAGTCATACTGGAGGGCCAACTCAGCTCTGAAGCCAAGGTCACATCTGTCGTACCCCAGGGTAGCGTCCTAGGTCCATTGTTATTTTTGATCTACATCAATGACCTACAAGATTGCATTAGGCATTCAACCACATGCCTTTATGCTGACGACTGTCTGCTCTACAAACCAATCAGACCGACCCAGGACTGTGACAAACTGCAAGAAGATCTAGACAGGCTCCAGGACTTGGAGAAGACGTGGAAGATGGAATTCCATCCCTCCAAATGCCAGGTCTTGCGAGTGACCAACACGAAGAAGCCACTCCTAGGCCAATACACCATCCATGGTCATCAGCTGGAGCAGGTCAACTCAGCCAAGTACCTCGGGGTCCACATTGATCAGAAGCTGAACTTCAATGCCCATGTAGATGCCACAGTCAAGAAGGCAAACTCTGTCTGTGCCTTCCTGCGCCGTAACTTTCGACACTGCAACCAAAAGATCAAGGAGGCTACGTATGTCACATACACTAGGCCCATAGTGGAGTATGCTGCAACAGCATGGGATCCACACACCCAAAGAAACATCAACAAGGTCGAAATTGTTCAACGCAGGAGTGCGCGGTACGTCTGTGGCGACTACGATCGTACCAGCAGTGTTACATCTATGACGAACAAACTAAAATGGCCCTCGCTAGTTAGTGGACGTCTGCAAAGCCGTCTTGCAATGCTGTATCGCATCCGCTTTGGTCTTGTTGACGTTGAATGGCAACAATACCTTAAGGCAGCAACATCTGTAACAAGAGGTCACGGATCCCGCTTCAGAGCGACACTGTGTACTAGACAAGCATACATCAGCTCCTTCTTCCCCAGAACTACCAAGGACTGGAACAACCTTCCAGTAGATCCAGCCTGCTTACTCTCCCTGGAGGCATTTAAGTCCTCACTGGGAAAGAAGCACCCCTAACTGCCCCCGCGGGATTAAAAGTTTTTACTTGTACCCTGTATACCGGTATACTGTATATGCGCAAGGATCCTGCCCAGCAGGCTCACACAGGCTCCTCACATACACACACAATGCGCAATCTTCAAGGCCTTGAAGCAGCACTTTTCTTGGAAGAAATATAAATGTAAATGGTAGATACTTTTGCAAAATGGTTGAGACATTAAGAAGCACAACTTCTAATTCTTATTTTTATCCACAGGTTGCCAGATAATCAACCATAAACATTTGCACCTTACATCCAATGATTGATAAATGCATCATATTCTAATATGGATGCTCATTTGTTTTCATGATTTTCTTTCTACTTTGCAAATTAGTGTCATCAAGATGTATTTGGTATAAATGCATAGGTCCTTATTTTAATCAGAAAGCATTCCTAGCAAACTGTTAAGAACCACTCTAACTTTCTGAACACTAGGTGAGCCTTGTCATTTTGCTTAAGTTTAAAACAAAGTTTTGGAATGTTGATGATATTTGAAAAAGCATCCCCGGTAAAACAGCAGGAAAAGTAGAATGATAACTATTTTTTCTCAGATGTTTAATCTTATAGTAATTTATGTGATCTTATCCTAGTTTATGGCGACTGGCTATGGAGGTCCCAATACTAACGGTTCCTTAACCATGGAAACAGGGAATCTGCTCAGTTCCATTAAAAAAAAAAATCATTCTCAGAACAAAAAAATAAAGAATTAATTACGCTTTGTGGAAGCCTATTTAAATTTAATGAACCTAATAATATTAAATTTTATGCAATTATGCAAATATATGTAAATATGTAACTATTTATAAATTATATGCAAACCATTTGTAAATATAATGTAGACTCTGTGATAGTTTAATTTGCTAATAATTCTATCATCAAGTTATATTACCATAAGGACTCGGGTAAGACACCAAGTAAATGTTCTCAATAATAGGCATTTTTAGCTATGAGTCAGATTATTCAGAGTTCTGGTGTTTCTTTGCCATTCTCTTGCCTAAATGTTAAATTTTCAATGTTTTATGTTATTTAAATATCTTAATAAATGCAATTTTTTCTGTGTTCAATGCAATAATGTAATAATTGTTAATTAATCTATAAATACAGTTATTGTTAGTATTATTGATCTAATTAATTGAATATTATTCAAATTGTAATAGTCTATTCAGTGTAGCTGCAGTTTGTACTTAACAACGGTATTCCAAAGTTTATTCTGAAATCTCATCATTTAGGCGAAATAAGATATATAGCTTTAATTCTATTTTTATTTTTAATATTCGCAATTACACTATAGAATTTTAATTTATCCAATAATTCTAAGTAAGCCTATTGTAATATTGTAACTATGAAATCAGTATAACTGCATTTTTTTAATTAGTAATGATATTCAAAAATTCATGTATTCATTTGTGCAATACACCCTATTAGTAAGCTGTGGAATATGGAATTTGCAACTTGAATTGACACAGTGATTCTCATATCATTGTGTATGTTTTTGCTTTAAATCCATCACGCTATATGACCGAAGCTTATTTTTATATTTTTACATGGACGAATAAACAAATTGAATTGAAGTAAATGGTACAGTCAAGTTTGTTAACCAAAGAAAATGGTTAAAACACCAAACTTTAAGGAGAAGTCCACCCTGATTAGAAGTTGGTTTTAACAGAAGCAGAAAAATTAAAGAAACAGATCAGTGAAGGTTCGAGCAAAATACAAGAAGAAATATTAAAGAAAATTATGAATTTTTGAAGTTGTAATCAAGCAAACATAAATTGGCAACACCGTGACGTATATTGTGAGCTACTCTAAAGAAAATATTTAATCATACATGCACCTTAATTATATAATCATTGCTCATATTTTCCTTGACCCCTAAACATGAATAAGGGCACTAAAATCACTTTTTATAAGTATCAGATGAGAAATAGTTTTAAACATGCAACATTATGGCAGCCAATTTGACTTTTAAAAAGGGTTAATTGTATGCAAATTTATGCAAATTAGGAGTCAAGGAGTAGTTGTAAGCTGCTGATAATGCTATTATCTTGTTCCTTGACCCCCAAAACATCGGTAAAGACACTTCGTTAAGCTTTCTATGTGTCTCAGATCTAGAGATATAGTTTTAAACATGAACAAATGGCAGCCATTTAGAATTTAAAAGGGGTTGATTATATGCAAATTTATGCAAATAAGGAGTCAAGGAGTAGTTCTAAGCTGCTTATAATGCTATTATCTTGTTCCTTGACCCCAAAAACTTCGGTAAAGACACTTCGTTTAGCTTTCTATGTGTCTCAGATCTAGAGATATAGTTTTAAAAATGAAAAAATGGCAGCCATTTAGAATTTAAAAGGGGTTAACTATATGCAAATTTATGCAAATTAGGAGTCAAGGAGTAGTTCTAAGCTGCTGATAATGCTATAATTATGTTTTCCTTGACCCCCTAAACATGGATAAGGGCACTAAAATCAACTTTCTATAAGTATCAGATGAGAAATAGTTTTAAACATGCAACATGGCAGCCATTTTGACTTTTAAAAGGGTTAATTATATGCAAATTTATGCAAATTAAGAGTGAAAGAGTAGTTGTAAGCTGCTTATAATGCTATAATCATGTTCCTTGACCCCCAAAACATTGGTAAAGACACTACGTTTAGTTTTCTATGTGTATCAGATCTATAGATATAGGCTAAAATAGGTTTTGTGTGTCTACCAGGGTCCGACATGGCGGCCATTTTGAATTTATGCAAATTAGGCACTGATCCACCACTACAATTTTTGTCAACTTTTAGTATGTTATTTTTATGTTTTTTCCAGATAATATGCAAGTGGAATCGTTTCTGTTGCAATTAGTTCTAGGTTGACCCCTTTTTTTTTCATATCTTGACTGTACTACTATGCATGCAAATTCCTCAATTGATTACACCAGTAGCATCAGTATCTTATTTGTCAAAATCCACGACATTTCTGTTAAAAAAGTTATACATTCCTTATTTCATCAATGATAAATTGATCACCATGGATCTTAATAAAAGATTTGAAAAGCCCAAATTAATGCCCCATTTTAACCAGATGTGACATTGTAAACCTGACCAAAGTCAAAACCCAATCAAACTTTTCTGACTAAAAGTATTTTATCTCCTCAGTTTGAACGAATACGTGGAAAGAAAACAATTATTTCAAGGTAAAATAAATCTCTTGTCTTCCCCGGTCTAAAAGAGAGGGTCAAAATGATCATCCAATTAGGATATTAAAAAAAGAAAAATTGAACTCAGACAGGAGAATGAACAGCGATGAACTTTGGTGTCGAGCCTTGAATATCGGGCGAAACATGTCTGCCGAAACCCTC